CAAATTCGGCTGAAAAACGCGCTCTAGAATCCCAAAATACCGAAAATTTGGGGGTACCCTTATATGGGGGATATCCGAAAAAATTGACCTATATTTATAATTTTTTGTGGTGAGATTTGGTACCTACTAAGAACTCAAAATACTAAATTACAGCCAATTCGGTGGAAAAATACGATAAAAACCACCAAAATACTGAAAATTAGGAGGTACTGTTATATGGGGGCTACAAGAAAAAGTGGACCTATACTTATAATTTTTGGTGAATACATTTACTACCCAATAAGAACCCAATGTACGAAATTTCAGCGAACCCCAAAATACCGAAAATTGGGGTTTACTGTTATATGGGAGCTATACCTAAACGTGGACAAATATATCCCATCTTCGAACTTGACCTGCCTGCAAACAAAAGACAAACCTATGCATTCCTTCAATTTCTTCAAAAGATAGCGTGATTACAACAGACGGACGGACATGGCTAGATCGTCTTAGAATTTTACCTTGATCAAAAAAATATATATACTTTATAGGGTCGGAAATGAATATTTCGATGAGTTACTATGGTGGAGGGTATAAAAAAATAAAAATAAATTTTTTATTTGAATTTTAAATGGGGTATGATTGTCGACAAGATTGATGAAAATAGGTATACAGCCATCAACGTACGTGTAAACGACAGAAAGTGAATCTGTCGTTAACGAAAAGTAGGCAGATTAGTCGCCGAAGTTGTCGTCAACGACAACTTCGCTTACCCTATCGCCCAAGTTGTCTTGCATGAATACTGCGACACTTGTGTGGAAATTTCGTCAAGGATCTCACATTGTTGTCTGCAAAGTGTCTTCAAGGAATTGCCATTGTCTTGCACGATTCAAAACATTACACACATATACACAAAATATGTATTTTGATTTGATGGAACAAGCCACCTTGAGGAAAAATTGTAATCAGTAGGTAGCTGTGCCCTACATTGTAATAATTATACCATGGGCCTATCCATTTATTCGAAGAATATTTTTTCTAAACTTCCCACTTCATATTAATTTTTAAAAACATTTTTTCACAGTGTATCTTTATAAAAAGCACTTAAGGCACATTTTTAAATACCCTGAACTAATTGATATGAAATGTATTCTTGACAAATATCATCAGCAGTGGCAACAACAACAAAAATAACAAAAACAACAGCAGCGATCTGGTCAATTAGAAATTAGTTAATTGATATTGTCAATGGAAATGGAAAAAAATGAGTAAAGAATTTTGATGAACTATTTTTTACACTAGACAACAGAAATAAATACATTATTAATAATATTAAAAATATGAAAAGAAGATATAATAAAAAAAAATAATTATTGTATAATTATTAACGTGCGCAACCAACACATTAAGATGATGTACCCTTTTCAGCATGGGTGGAGGTGATAAGGGGGTATTCAGATTTCATAAAAAAAAAAACAGTAATGAAAGTAGTAAAGCCGGACGGGACCGATTATATGATACCCTTCACCACTATGGATATATTAAACAGGACTATTAACATGAAATTGTATGAACTATAATATGTGATAATTATCTAAATGTGAATGGACTTAGATCAATCCATAAACATGTCATTCGTTTGTTACAATGCACTATAGGTAATTCGTTATATCCGGTTTTTACTGTAGAAGTCTGCGTTTTCTCTTTCTTGTACATATACATCATTTAAAAAGTCAAAACATCGTTTAAAACCTCTGTTATTAATTTTTGCCTAAAAACACGGCAAATTACCTATAGTGCAATGGGACAAAAGTATGTAAAACGACTTCAAACAAATATCAGCAGAACATCTGTTGGGCAATGCCCGTACTTCTAGAAAACGCAACTACGTTATTCTATGCTACATTTTGGACATTGGGCAAAATTGCATGTCAATCTGACAAACATGAGGAGTTAAATGTGCCATTTACTTAAAATCGGGCGAAAATATATATGGAAGCTATATCCAAATATGAACCGATTTTAACGAAATTTGTCATACTAATTTCAGTACATTTTGTTCCTATCAGCCTGGTTCCTTGGTGCCTCAATTACTTAAAATCAATCTATAATATATGGGAGCTATATTCAAATCTCAGTAGATTTTCACGGAACTTGACACAAATTATTCTGGATTAAATTCAGTACGCTATGCAACATAAGAACTTTGGTACATTATTTACATTAAATCGGATGAAAATATATATGGGAGCTTTATCTAGATCTGAACCGATTTTCACGAAACTTGGCAGACATCATTCCAGGCTCAATTCAGTACACTGTGCCAAGTTGTGTGCCAATCTTTGGCAACACAGTACGTCATGACAAATTTCGTGCAAATCGAAAGATTTATAGGGACTTTGGTGTACCATTTACATTAAATCGGACGAAAATATATATGGGAGCTATATCTAAATCTGGACCGATTTTCACGAAACTTGGCAGATCTCACTCTAGGCTCAATTCAGTACTTTATGCCAAATTTTGTGTAAATCAAAAGATATATAAGGACTTTGGTGCGCCATTTACATAAAATCGGACGAAAATATATATAGGAGCTATATCTAAATCCGAACCGATTTAAATGCGAAACTTGGCAGACATCACTCTAGCCTAATTCATTTCGTCATGCCAAATTTCGTGCAAATCGAAAGATATATAGGGACTTTGGTGCACCATTTACATAAAATCGGACGAAAATATATATTGGAGCTATATCTGTATCTGGGCCGATTTTCACGAAATTTGGCAGACATCACTCTAGGCTCAATTCAGTACGTCATGCCAAATTTCGTGCAAATCGAAAGATATATAGGGACTTTGGTGCACCATTTATATAAAATCGGACGAACAGATATATGGGAGCTATATCTAAATCTGAACCGAATTTTCCTAATTTCAATAGGGTTTGTCCTTGGCCGAAATAAATGAGCTGTGCCAAATTTCATCCAAATCGGATCATAAATGCGACCTGTACTTTGTACACAATTTAACACCAAAATACTGACGGACGTACAATCATAAATTGACTGTACCACAGTTTGGTGAAGGGTATAATTACTCGTGTCATTTCGAACTTTATTATGTAACCGGTTTTTTTGGAATTTGCAAAATATTAATAAATTTTGTGATTTATTCTAATGAGAATCAAATTTGTACGTAATTAATGAAACAAGTTAATGTGGGAGCAATTGTTAACTGGATCACTCAATTATTTTCGAAAATAAATTTTTAATTCCGGGGTTAATGGCACTGAGGTTTTTTTTATATAATGCAAAAAATATATTGATAATAACATTGAAAAAAAAATGAAAAAATAAAACCACGCCTTGGATAGACCCTGAAAAACTAGTCTTTAAAAAATCCACGCCTTGGATAGACCCTGAAAAACTAGTCTTTAAAAAATCCACGCCTTGGATAGACCCTGAAAAACTAGTCTTTAAAAAATCCACGCCTTGGATAGACCCTGAAAAACTATTCTTTAAAAAATCCACGCCTTGGATAGACCCTGAAAAACTATTCTTTAAAAAATCCACGCCTTGGATAGACCCTGAAAAACTAGTCTTTAAAAAATCCACGCCTTGGATAGACCTTGAAAAACTAGTCTTTAAAAAATCCACGCCTTGGATAGACGCTGAAAAAATAGTCTTTAAAAAATCCACGCCTTGGATAGACGCTGAAAAAATAGTCTTTAAAAAATCCACGCCTTGGATAGACCCTGAAAAACTAGTCTTTAAAAAATCCACGCCTTGGATAGACCCTGAAAAACTAGTCTTTAAAAAATCCACGCCTTGGATAGACCCTGAAAAACTAGTCTTTAAAAAATCCACGCCTTGGATAAACCCTGAAAAACTAGTCTTTAAAAAATCCACGCCTTGGATAGACCCTGAAAAACTAGTCTTTAAAAAATCCACGCCTTGGATAGACCCTTAAAAACTAGTCTTTAAAAAATCCACGCCTTGGATAGAGGCCCTGAAAACTAGTCTTTAAAAAATCCACGCCATGGATTGACCCTGAAAAAGTAGTCTTTAAAAAATCCACGCTTTGGATAGACCTTGAAAAACTAGTCTTTTAAAACCCCACGCCTTATAAAGGCCCTGAAAACTAGTCTTTTAAAGACCCACGCGTTATAAAGGCCCTGAAAAACTAGTCTTTTAAAGACCCACGCCCTATAAAGGCCCTCAAAAACTAGTCTTGTAAAGACCCACGCCTTATAAAGGCCCTGAAAAACTAGTCTTTAAAAATCCACGCCTTATAAAGGCCCTGAAAAACTAGTCTTTTAAAGACCCACGCCTTATAAAGGCCCTGAAAAACTAGTCTTTAAAAATCCACGCCTTATAAAGGCCCTGAAAAACTAGTCTTTTAAAGACCCACGCCTTATAAAGGCCCTGAAAAACTAGTCTTTAAAAATCCACGCCTTGGATAGACCCTGAAAATTAGTCTTTTAAGGACCCACGCCTTATAAAGGCCCTGAAAAACTAGTCTTTAAAAATCCACGCCTTGGATAGACCCTGAAAAATTAGTCTTTAAAAATCCACGCCTTGGATAGACCCTGAAAATTAGTCTTTTAAAGACCCACGCCTTATAAAGGCCCTGAAAAACTAGTCTTTAAAAATCCACGCCTTGGATAGACCCTGAAAAATTAGTCTTTAAAAAATCCACGCCTAAAAATTTGTGTAGCCTAGTGTGTAATAGTAAATATTTGTATTATTAAAACCGCAGCACGATACATATCTATGATCGGCATCATTTATTTATCTAAGTTTTCATTTAATATTTATCTTTGCAGCTATTTTAGGATAAGTAACACATGACTGTTAAACATTGATGTAAATTAAAAAAAAATGTAGATTATAATACAATACTGATATATCGAACTAAAATAAATAGTACAAGTAATTAGTGTTCAACTAATAGACTAGCATTCTCTCCTCAACTATTACGTTGTACCTATTCCGACTAATATAGTCCGAACAGCGTAACTACTCACAATCCCCTTTAGGTTTTTTCTGTAGACATGGTATTTCCCACATACGTTGATTTCGACCAAATTCTTCGCCATCCTGGAGAGTTTGGGGTAAAACACGATCCACAGTTTCGGGTAGCAGCAAACAAAGCAGTCCTCCCATAATTCCCAGGCATCCCAGAATTATCAGAGGCAACACTGTGGCAATATTACTTAAGTACACAACGAAGGGAGCCAATATGGCCGAAACATAACCCATAATATGGATAAAAGCCACTCCCTGGGCCCTTACCACGGTGGGTAGAACTTCAGCGGCATATTGCGATCCGACATTATAGGAAATATTAACAAAAAATCGTCCCGCAATTGCAAATGCCACGGTGTACACACCCGAAGGGGCAACTGCCGCCAGAAGGCTAAATACACCACTCAGAACCATACTGCCACAGGCATTCCAACGACGACCCAAACTATCCATGGTCCATAAGAGGATGACTCCCGCAGGAAATTCCGTTAAACAGGCCAGGGTGAAGGTCAGGAAAATATCTAACGGCAGGGAACCCACACTGCGCACATGGCCATCAAACACGAGAGTTATACACATCCAAACGATTACCAAAATAATTGTGGTCCTTCTCATTCGAGGAGTCTTGAACATATCCATTATGGAGTAGGAGAGATTTTGCTGCTCCTCCTCTTGTATTCTTTTGCAGCTCAATCGAAATATTTCGAAAGTTTCATCGCTGACTTGGGAGCGATTGCGTCGTGCCAGGGTTTTCATAATTTCGATAGATTTTTCGATTTTCCCCTGGGAAACTAACCATCTGGGGAAGAGGGAGAAGGGAAGAATTTTGATTTTGTTTTTTATATTTAGAGTTTTGGTCTTACCTTGCCGATTCCGGTACCAACCATGGTGTAAATATTACCAAAATTAGGGGAGCCGAGGTGGCTATGGCCAAATATTTCCAATTGGCAATGTAATAGGCAATCCAGGGCAGCAGACAAGTGGCTGAGGTAAAATAGATGGCAATGGGCATGTTTGCCACAAAGGTGCGATATTTTGGACCCACATATTCAAGGGCTAAAAGAGAAAATATTTTTTTTAAGAATTGGGATTTTTTAAAGAATATTTTTTGAGGGGCTATCTAAGGCGTGGATTTTTTAAAGAATATTTTTTGAGGGTGGATTTTTTAAAGAATATTTTTGAGAGCCTATATAAGGCGTGGATTTTTTAAAGAATATTACTTGAGGGCCTATCTAAGGCGTAGATTCTTTTAAGGATATTTTTTGTGGGCCTATCTAAGGCGTGGATTCTATTAATAATATTTTTGTGTAAGGCGTGGATATTTTTCAGGGTCTATCCAAGGCGTGCATTTTTTTCGGGGGTATCTATGGCGTGGATATTTTTCAGGGTCTATCTATGTCGTGGATATTTTTCAGGGTCTACCTAAGGCGTAGATTTTTTTCAGGGTCTATCTAAGGCGCGGATTTTTTTCAGGGTCTATCTAAGGCGCAGATTTTTTTTTCAGGGTCTATCTAAGTCGTGGATATTTTTCAGGGTCTACCTAAGGTGTAGATTTTTTTCAGAGTCTATCGAAGGCGTGGATTTTTTTCAGGGTCTATCTAAGGCGTGGATTTTTTTCAGGGTCTATCTAAGGCGTGGATTTTTTTCAGGGTCTATCTAAGTCGTGGATATTTTTCAGGGTCTACCTAAGGTGTAGATTTTTTTCAGGGTCTATCGAAGGAGTGGATTTTTTTCAGGGCCTAACTAAGGCGTGGATTTTTTAAAGAATATTTTTTCAGGGTCTGTTTAAGGCGTGGCTCTTTTAAAGAATATTTTTTCAGGGTCTGTTTAAGGCGTGGCTTTTTTAAAGAATATTTTTTCGGGGTCCTCCTAAGTCGTGGATTTTTTTTAAGAATTTTTAAAAAAAGATTCAAACAAAGCGTGTATTTTTTCTATAGAAAAATTCTTCCTTAGCCACTGTTAAGCTGAACTCGCTAATCACGCATTAAATTACCCCCACCACCGCAAAAATGTACCTTTCCAATTACCACGCTAATGAGCAACACGAATTTTAACGCACTTACCCAGAATAAACATCATGACAAAACAATTATCGAATGCAAATCCAACCAAAAATCGCATCAGGGCAAATAACCAAAAATTGTTGACAAATGCTGTGGTTACACCGGCGGCGCAGCCCACCAAATTGCACGCAATCATTGAGGGGACACGACCGAATTTGTCAGCTACCCAGCCAAATAGAAGGCCACCACAAATGGCGCCCACAAAAAATAACGATTGGGCATAGGTGGCCAAGACCGCGTGGTCACAGACCCAATTTTGTTCGGTGGCAATGGTCGTGTAGGGTATTTCCTTGAAATCATAAGTCCAGCCATGTGTGCACGAAGTTGTGGGCCATGAGTTGTTGGCCTCCCTGACACCCAGCTCCAGCTGCTCGGTGAAGTTAACATCATAACGTAAACATTTGCTGTATTTACCCTCCACCAAAGGTATGGAGAGTTTGAGGCTGCAAGTGGGGATTATTCGGAATCTGTTTTACTTGAAATACATTTTGATGGAACTCACCTCTCCTCCTGACTCAAATTCCCTAGCTCCGGTACTGTACACCAATAATCTTCTGGTATCAGGGTCAAAAAGATTTGTGTAAAATACACAAATGCCAAATAGTAGGCAAATGGTAATATCAGAATAAACAAAAATTTCTGATAACGTCCGAACTCTCCAATCAGTGGCAGCATATCATTAAAATCCATTGTCTGTGTCTCCTCAGCCCCCTTACCATTACATGTGGGATACAATTCAATATCTGTATAGCCATCAACGGTACCCCACTCCTCAATGTCATTATCGTCACCCATAAAATTCGGATTCTGATAGGTGGCTATTTTCCGTTGACGATCGCCCATTTTCCATTCAGCTTCGTTCGCAGACACCAATTGATGGAATTAATTAAAAGTCTCCAATTGTTATGGATCGTTCGTTCGTTTGCTAATCCGATTCGTTCACAGATACTGTGACTGCTACTGACCGCCGCTGTCAGTGATACTGTGGATCGATGTGCGTTGCCCAGCCTCCAAAACCGTTCACTGAAACTTCGTTTGATAGTCTGAGTAATTAGCACATCGATTCAGAAGTTTAGCACCACTTAAAACTTGATTCACTTGTTAATGACCGACCGACCGATCGATCGATCGAACAGACCGTCGAACGCCAGATAACACAATAAAAAGAATAACATTTAAAGGGTGTTTACATTTCATTGTCAAAACAAATATTTGAAGAGAAAAATCGATTAAATACACTGAGAGAAAAATTTAATTAATTTTGACGAATGAAACTTCAATTAGAAATATTTTTCTATTGCAAATGGCATGTTCCCGTACTGCAAGAATCTACTATTTTTTACTCCGATAACACTTTTTTCCTTAATGATATCGAAGAAAATAGTAAAATCGAGTAGATTCTTGCAGTACGGGAACAGACCAAAAATTCTTAGTGACGGAGGAAGGCCTGGATAATTTAAACCTTTTTTCTATGTCTCTCTTAGACTTGCATTTTTTTAAAGAATTTTTTTGTTTGGGTCTATCTAAGGCGTGGATTTTTTAAAAAATAGTTTGCAAGGTCTTTATAAGGCGTGGATTTTTAAAGAATATTTTTGAGGGTCTATCTAAGGCTTGGATTTTTTAAAAACTAGCTTTTCAGGGTCTATCTAAGGCGTGGATTTTTAATGACTATGATTTCAGGGTCTATCAAAGGCGTAGATTTTTTAAAGACTAGCTTTTCAGATTCTATCTAAGGCGTAGATTTTTAGATACTGTATTTTCAGGGTCTATATAAGGCGTGGATTTTTAGAGAATGCTTTTTCAGGGTCTATCTAAAGCGTGGATTTGTAGAGACTGTATTTTCAGGGTCTATTTAAGGCGTGGATTTGTAGAGACTGTATTTTCAGGGTCTATCTAAGGCGTGGATTTGTAGAGACTGTATTTTCAGGGTCTATCTAAGGCGTGGATTTTTTAAAGAATATTTTTGGGGGTCTATCTTAGGCGTGGATTTTTTAAAGAATATTTTTGGGGGTCTATCTAAGGCGTGGATTTTTTAAAGAATATTTTTTCAGGGTCTATCTAAGGCGTGGATTTTGTAAAGAATATTTTTTCAGGGTCTATCTAAGGCGTGGATTTTGTAAAGAATATTTTTTCAGGGTCTATCTAAAGCGTGGATTTTTTAAAGAATATTTTTGGGGGTCTATCTAAGGCGTGGATTTTTTAAAGAATATTTTTGGGGGTCTATCTAAGGCGTGGATTTTTTAAAGGATATTTTTGAGGGTCTATCTCAGGCGTAGATTTTTTAAAGAATATTTTTGAGGGTATATCTAAGGCGAGAATTTTTTAAAGAATATTTTTGAGGCTCTATCTAAGGCGTGAATTTTTTAAAGAATATTTTTGAGGCTCTATCTAAGGCGTGGATTTTTTAAAGAATATTTTTGAGGGTCTATCTAAAGCGTGGATTTTTTAAAGAATATTTTTGAGGGTCTATCTAAAGCGTGGATTTTTTAAAGAATATTTTTGGGGGTCTATCTAAGGCGTGGATTTTAAAGAATATTTTTGGGGGTCTATCTAAGGCGTGGATTTTAAAGAATATTTTTGGGGGTCTATCTAAGGCGTGGATTTTAAAGATTATTTTTGGGGGACTCTATCAAAGGCGTGGATTTTCAAAAAAATATTTGAAGGACTCACAGAACTTGTGCATTTTTTGGGGGTTATCAGGTCGTGGATTCTTTCTACAGAAAAAATAAGAAGAATCTTCTTTTTGCTAAGGTCTCATTTTTCGATAAAATTTTTCGTGGATTTTTAATCCTCAAGTCCTGTAAGGTTTCATTTTTTTATAGAAAAAAATTTTCAGTCCTGCTAAAATTTTTTTTCGCTTAAAACTTCTTAGCCTTTCACTGACAAATTGATTTCAAATTGTCATTATTTAACGTCAAATTGTGATTGGCATATGAGTAAATTTTGTGAGTCACTCCATGACAAATGAACGCTGGTTCTATCGCCTTTGAAGGGAATTATAAATTCTGTGGATTTTTTTATTTATTCTGGTTTCATTAAATCCCTTAACCTGGTACGATATTCATTGTCAGTTAATTGGAATTTAGTTCGAATACAGTTGGTGGTATTTTTTTGTACTACGAATATTTATTTGCAGATGTGCGTAATGTTAATTTGATGGGATGGGGGAGGGTGGGATCACTCGAGTAGTCAATCAACCAAATGTTTAAATCTTTTCCTCCTCCTCTTCTCCATCTCTGTACACAAATTAATCGTTGTGCGGATGTCAACCACTACATGTTCGGGCAGTGTTTGCTGCTGTTAGACAATTGGAACATATCAATCATTTTTGGTTGTTGTTGTTTGTTTGAGACGCATATGCATGCAGAAGCTCAATTATGTGGCAGGATATAGATCGCTTAAGTCCATGTATTTATTTAGGATAACATAACAGATTTGGAATGTGTAGGAGGAGAAAAACTTCAGAAAAAATATTATGTTGAATCCGACATATTATGATGGCTCTGAAAAAAAAATTGTATAAAAATTCACTTTGAAAAATAAAAACAAAAACAAAAATAAAAACAAATGCTTTAAAAAAATCAAGCCTTAGATAGACCTTGCAAATATTTTTTAAAACTTCGAGCTTTAGATAGACCTTGCAAAAATTTTTTAAAAGTTCGAGCTTTAGATAGACCTTGCAAATATTTTTAAAAAAATCCACGCCTCAGATAGACCTGGAAAACTATGCTTAAAAAATCCACTTCTTAGATATCTGATGAAAAAATGCAGCCTCATAGTTCCAATCAGATTAACTTCTTATTTTCATAGCTTCATAGCTATGGAGGGTATGTAAAAGTAAGGCCATCCAGCCATAGTCTATAAATATTTAGATTATTTGCATATTAATTTACAATTGTAAGCTTTCTAAGGATATTTGTTGCTACAAATTGTGGAACAATGTTTAGCTCCCTTTAAGGATACTAAACGACAATTGAAATGTAGACGAGCCAAAGCTGAATATCCTTGAACACATAATCGTTGGTGGTGTCGGCATCACATGGAACTGAAACATAAAACATTTAATAACAATGGAGAAGAGAACATTTTTGCAAAACACCAACAACAACAACTCGAATAAAATGCAACAAATACAAATGTTATTTTTTATGATTTTATTTTTCAAAAAAAAAAAAAAAAAAAATGTGGATGGGAGCTCTTTCTGGGCGACAATTGTACTTGGGGCTCTAGAAAAAATATTATTATTTCATTCAAACAGCTGGGAACCATTTAAGATTGGCTTTATGGCGATAACAAGGAATGCCTACCAGAAAAACACGGCAAAACAAAACAAAAAAGGCGGAAATCGGAAAAAATATGCGGCAAAGAAAATTATTACTGGATTTCAGTTCATTTTGTTATTGCAAGGATTTTTTAATACACAGTCCCACAGGACCTCCTGGATGAGAAGCACACACCTCTCACACTCATCTCTCATTCCCATTCTTCCTCAGTGCTTAACAACTTAAGCTGCTACTTTATTTATATGAGACATGTTTTTCATGTTTTTGGCATGCAAATGAACTGCCGCAGCAAACCTCCACACCCACACCAACACACAAGCTGAACACGCCGAAGAATAAGTGTGTGTATAAATGACATTTTTATGATTATTTTATGAGTAATAGTTCAGACTCCCACCATCATTTCCGTTACTGATTTCCTTTAACATCCGTTTATGGCTGGCTGTTGCATGCGCCGCTGTTCCATCTGCGTGTTGGGAAGTGCAATTTAATGCCTAACTAGTTTCATATTTTGTGGAATTACAAAAAGAAAAAAATAAAAAAAAAAAACATTGGATTCTTGGAAAAAGTCCTAGAATGGATGAGAAGTGGAATAAAGAAAACAATTAACATGTTTATTTGTTCAGCTGTTAGGGAACACTTGCAAGCAACATAATAATAAACATTTATTTGCTAAAAGTTAAAGTCCAAGAATTTCTAGTTTAAGGCACTTGCGTAATAAGTATTGTATAGGCCAAGGATATATATATATATATCCTTGTTGAAAAATAGAAGAAATTTTACATACAAGGAAAAAGAATTTTGTTAAGATTATTTATTAAAGGACACAAGTCGTGGAATTTTTACAAAAATATTTTTTTTTAAGGATTTTTTTCTAAGGGCCTCTGAAGCGTGGACTTTATTAAAAGAATTTTTTTAAGGGCTATCATTGGGGTGGATGGTTTAAGGAATATTTTTCCCAAGTATCTATGAGGCGCGGATTTTATGGAGAATATTTTTCCAAGGACTATTTACGGCGTGAATTTAATTATGAATATTTTTTAAGGACTATTTAAGTCATGGATTTTATAAAGAATATTTTAAGGGTCTACTATTCGTGGATTTTATAAATACAATTTTTGAGAGTCAATAAGATGTGGATTTTATAAAGTCTTTTTTTAAGAGACCTTTTAAAGATAGGCATTGAAAAAAATTTCTATAAAAAATCCACGCCTTGATAGGCATTGAAAAAAATTTCTAAAAAAAATCCACGCCATTGAAACAATTTTCTATAAAAAATCCACGCCATTGAAAAAAATTTCTATAAAAAATCCACGCCTTGATAGGCATTGAAAAAATTTTCTATAAAAAATCCACGCCTTGATAGGCATTGAAAATAATTTCTAAAAAAATCCACGCCATTGAAAC